CCCCAAAACCCCAAAACCCCAAAACCCCTCATAATAACTAAAATAAAATTTGAGGATATTGAAAATTGAGTTTCGATAGTTAACATTAAAGAATAAAATTTCAAAGATAACTAAATACTGACTCGTCTATTAGTCTCTATACCTTAGGATTTTATTTGCCATAATCTTTCATTAGCCTTTCAACTTGATACTCAATAAAATTATCGATATATAATTCCACGTTCTCTTGGACATTAGCATATTCATCCCAACTTACATTTTACATCGCCTCCTCAAAAGATACGATTTCTTCTGACTTGTTTAATTATCCATAGTCGATTGGTGACTTTTTCGCCTAAGCTTTATCAGGGATTATCTATGGCTGCTATTATAGTATCTTATCTTTTAATGGTTCATTTTTCTTAAAGACTTCAGGTTCATCCTTTGGCTTTACATATGGATCGAATAATTCATCTTCATATTCATCAATTTATTAAATATCATCGATTTCCTCAGGATCATCCCAAAAATTTTGAACTTTTTTCTTTTCTTCTGGAACCTATTTTTGTGATCCTAGCTCTATTACTGGTTAAGGCTTAGGTTTCATCCAATCATCATGATAATCTTCATCAAGGCTTTTTATTGGTTGTACTTCATCTATCTAAGGTATTTGCTCTATTGTTTATTTCTACTGCTATACTTACATTATTGATGGATTGGCTGATCCAACTCCTTTCTATTTGTTTACATTTCTATGCATAACTTATGGTTCAGCTTTCTTTATTTCTGGCTCTAGCTTTTATTACTTGTTTCCTGGATTAAGCCAATCATCATCAATTTCTTCAAATTGCTGGACAGGTTCAACATATCCGAAATCGAATTGATTTTTATTTGAAGTTTTTATTTCTACTGGAATGCTGTTTTTAAACTCTGGCTGTACACTCTAATTTTGTAAAATAAGAGAAGGTGCATTAGTTGATGGAGCATTTTATAAGTTAAACTTATTGTTTTCTAACTACAATTGTAAATTGGTAAGTCTTCTATCAAAATCTTATAGTTTTTATTCATTTACTTTCTCTTGCTGCTAAAAGTCTTTTTTGTAAGAATTCTTCTAATCTAGCTATAGCTCCTATATATTTTAATATTTCTTATCAAGCTCAGAGATTTTCTGCATGATGTTTGCTTGCAAGTTATTGAGATCATTCTTGTCTGCAAGATCTAAATCTTAATTACTAAACTTCTAATCAATATCTTATATTTTTTAGCTAAGCTTTTTTTCTAATCGATAAAGTTCCTCCTAGTCAATTTTATTCTGCTTCAATTCATCACTTTGATTACTAGCTGTATTTTTACTAGCTTACAGGAACTGTATCTACTATCTCATATGATCAATTTATTCTTGAAATTCATCATCTTTTACGAATCTACAATCATCTATTTCTTTCTTAATATCTTTCTTGATTTATTGCTTAAATTTTTCAAATTCACCTTTTACATTATTGATATTGTCCTAGAGTTAAAATTTATTTTGATCCATTAGTTATTCTAACCCATCTTGATACTTGCTTAGCTCTTCTACTGACTACTCCTAAGATATCTTAATGTCTTCTAATTAAGCCTCTACTCCCATGATCTTCTTATCATTTTAAGTCAATCCAGCCATAACTATAGAGTTTGCTTCTTCCCTAAGGCTAGTTTGTAGTTAATTGGATTAACTCTTAATCTCTTGCTAAATTTGTGAAAGTAAATCATTAGTAACTCTATCATAAATACTATTCCCAAAATCTTCAAACTACTGTTTTATATTTTCAAATTCATTCTGAGTCTCCTCCCTCACTATGTTAATCTCGTCTTCTGTCTTCTTTTTAGTTAGCTTGTTATTTTACTCAATCTTTGATACTCTATCTTCTGTTTTCTTTTCCAACGCTTCAATTTCCCATTTAATGAGATCTTTTATATCATTTTAAGAAAGGGATCCAAAGTTTTGCGGTGATTTCATATTGTTAAGAGTAGACAATTTTTCAGGTTGATTATCTTCATTTCTACGCTTGGCTGCTCTTTCCCTGAACTTAGTGAATTTAGCATCTAGATTTTTCACAAAATTCTGTATGATTTTGATTCTCTTAATGATTTCATCCTCAAAAATCCTTTACCTCTCTTCTATTTCATCATCAAATACAGTTCTCTGATTTTTTATTATATCTCTATGCATATTAACTCCATCGTCTATTGTTCTAAGCAACTATGAAGGTGCCTATATTCTCGAATTAAGACTCCTACCCCTAGATTATAGCTAATTTGCTTATACATAATGTGCTTCAATATCCTCGCCTATTGTACCAAAATCAAACTCTTCAGGTGCATTATGATCAATTGTACCATTTCCTGCACCATCATTGGATCTCACATAAATAGTTTTTTAATTATTAATAGGATACCCTTGGTGAGATTGAGGGATCATCTGAATGCTATTTGCATTTGAGGAGAAGCCATTACTGCTTGATGGCTTAAATGCCTATTAGTTAGATCCCGGATAAAATGCAATAGCTGCAGTTCTCGCTTATTAAGACGATATCGAAGGCTGTTGATACTGCTGATAGCTATAATCATCAATGCGTTTAGATGAGTTTATGTTTGAACTATCTATTCTGTAGAAGTCATTGCCTGAGTTCGTATAAATGCCAGTATTCAAATTTTTGTTGGTTCTTCTGTATATTTCCTCAATACTTTAGGCAAATCTTGAGGCTGGCTGATATCTATATTAATCTGCTTGCATTCTTAATTTTGAATTATTAGTTCCAACTATATTCATATTTTAAGGCCTATTCAGCGAAATAAATTTATTTTTAAATTCTATCTCCCCATCAGATTTTATTCTTCTATATGGGGTTTTGGGGTTTTGGG